CCAAGGGTGGGCCAGCTCCAGGGCTGTGGCCTTTGGGGACAATTGGAGGGCAAAGGGCCTAGGAACCCTGGGAGGCAGCGCGAGGCTGGTGACTCTCTTAGCTGCCTATCTTCTCTGGGACTCATTTACTTCCTTCCTCCACCAGATGTGGGCCCGGGGCCCGGAAAGGTCCCCTGGCCAGACTTTGGGATCACAGCAAAGGAGAATGGGGGCAATGGGGCCTCTGAGGAGCGGCCTCGGGAGAATGGAGATGCCCTGCCTTGGGAGGGGTCCCTGGGCCCCCTTCCAGGCCTTTCTGCCCAACCTCACAAAGGTGAGTGGGCAACCTCACACCTCACACTTGCCCTGTGGCCGGTGGGGCTCCAGGGCAGCCCCATGCTCCCACCCCACCTGCTTCTCATGGCACCTGTACCCCTGGCTCACAGGCATCCTCAAGAAGAAGTGTCTGCCCACCATCAGCGAGAAGAGCAGCCTCCTACGGCTACCCCTGGAGCAGGGCACGGCGTCTTCTCGGGGCTCCTCAGCCAGCGAGGGCAGCCGGGCAGGGCCCCCTCCCCGCCCACCACCCCGACAGAGTCTCCAGGAGCAGCTGAACGGGGTCATGCCCATCGCCATGAGCATCAAGGCGGGCACGGTGGATGAGGACTCCTCAGGCTCCGAGTGAGTGTGGCCGGGGGAGCGGGACAGGGTGCAGAGGCCCCGGCTGGGCTCAGCTGCCTCCTGGCCTCCCCAGCCTGCTCTGGTTGGCAGCCAGAGGACGAGCGGGCGGAGTGTGGCCCAGCTCCCTCACTGCGACATGCCCACAACCCACAGCGCCACGTGGGGTCAGCCCAACCTGGCATCCTGGCATCGGGCAAAGTGAGGGAGGGTGGGGAGCTGGGGTTGCTTTTCTGTTTCCTTCTTCTGGTGGAAGCTTTTCGCTGTCTCCTCTGTTCCTCTGTTCCAACTAATCCTCTGTCTGCCTTTTCTGTCACTTTCCTTTCCTGCCTCTCCAGATTTCTCTTCTTTAACTTCCTGCATTAACCCTGGGCCGGTGGTTCCTACACCCTGAGGCTCCCTTGCCTTCCCCAGCGGCACTCATGCCCCCACTCCTGTCTTGTGCTTTATCCTGACCCCGCTCCCCGCCGCCTGCCCGCCTGCCCGCAGCAGCGATGAAACGTCCATCTGAGGAGCCTGGGCCTTGCTGGGAGGGGCACCCACCCCACCCAAGGCCATCTAGTGCCAACTCCTTCCCCCACCATCCCCCTCACTGCACTTTGGACCCCCCGGGGCCAACATCTCCAAGACAAAGTTTTTCAGAAAAGAGGAAAAAAAAAGAATTTAAAAAAGGATCTCCACTCTTCATGACTTCAGGGATTAATTTTTTTTATATGCTGGAAACTGACTCCCCATTCCCTTCCCAAAGAGGATAGGACCTCCCAGGATGCTCCCCAGCCTCTCCTCGGTTTCCCATCTGCTGTGCCTCTGGGAGGAGAGGGACTCTTGGGGGGCCTGCCCCTCATTTGCCATCACCAAAAGGAAAGGACAAAGCCACATGAACCGAGGGCGCCGCACCCTGCGGGCTGCCCTGGGCGGGCCTCTGTATGGCGAGGGCATCAGTGCAGAGGGAGCGCCTCACCCCGCCTGTGCCACCCCTCCCAGGAACTGAAGAAGCCCCGTCCGGAGAGGGGGCAGAAGGACTCAGTGCCCCCGGACCCCCAAATGCTGCATGAACACATTTTGAGGGGAACCCGTGCCCCGGGCGGCGGCCGGGCCACCCCAGTTCCTCTCCTTTTCCTGGACTCCCGCCATGTGCTGCAGCCCAGGTGTTTGCTCAGTTTGCTGACCCAAAAGTGCTTCATTTCCCTGCCTGACCCGCACGTGGGGAAGGCCAGTCATGTTAAGTTGCGCTTCTTTGCTGTTGTGTGGGTGGGACGGGAAGAGTAAATATAGTGCTGGCTCAGTTGCTCCCAGCCCCGGTCACAAGTCTGGGTTTGGGGTCCACTCACCCACCCCCCAAGATCAGACAGACGACCCCACTTTCTGACCTGCTCTGGCCTCTGAGACATGTTCTATTTTTAACCCCTTTTGGGAATTGGCTCTCTTCTTCAAAGGACCAGGTCCTGTTCCTCTCTCCTTCTCCCCCCACCCCAGCTCCCTGCGAAGAGAGAGTTAATATATAGTTTTTATTTATTTGCTTTTTTGTGTTGGGATGGGTTCGTATTCGGTCCCAGGGGGTCTTATGTGGCTGTTACAGGTTGGGTGTGTACCCAGCAGTCCTGGCATGGGGCCTGAGGCCCTTCCCCTTGCTCCAGGCTGTCACCTCCCTGCCTCTCCTCCCCCCCTCCTCAGTTTTGCCAACTGCTGTTCATTTGACTCACCATTTATGCTAAGCATGTAATCCAGACTTGTCACGGACTTTCCTCTGAAGCAGGTGAAAATGCTCCTGTTGCTCATTTGTAAGGCTGGTCTCTGGCTTCCCTGCCGTGGATTCTCCCCCTGACCCCTCCCCTCAGCAATTCCTGCGAAGGGTTAAAAATTTCACTGGTTTTCACTACTGATGACTTGACTTAAAAAGTACAAAGATGCTGGATGCTAACTTGACACTAACCATCAGATTGTACAGTTTGATTGTTACTGTAAATATCGTAGGGTTTTGTGCTTGTTTTTTTTTTTTTTTTTTTTTTTTTTTTCC